CCCATGGGGTAGTTCTGCTTTGTCCTGTAGGATCACTGTGAGTCACAATCGACTCGATGGCAATAAGTTTACTGAGCCTCTGGCGGCACAAACGATTAAGCACGGGGTTGCTAACCAAAAGGTTGGTGGTTTTAACCCACTAGTGGATCCACAGAAGAAAGACCTAGCAAACTGCTCCCGTAAAAATTACACGCAAGAAAACCCTATGGGGTAGCTCTACTCTGTCATGGGGTCACTATAAGTCGAAAATAACCCAGCAGCACCAAAGAACAACAATACTGACCTTGTGTTGTTAATTTAACCAACCAATTCCAAAAGTTTTAATAATTGGCATTTAGGGACAGGTATATGAATTCTGCCTAGGTGGTCTCAGCCCAGCCATATCTGTGTGTCTCTAATTAATTGTGTGTCTTGATAAGCCATGACTGACACTAGGCTCAGGGGAATGATCTTACCCTGGAATTACTGGTTGTGTCTCAACCAGACGTTGGCCCCCTTCTACAGAGTGCTTCGGCAAAGACTGAGGCCCTGTGCAATTGACAGTAAATAAGCCCATTGGGTGGTGGCTTGGGTGAGAAGAAATTTATAAATCTGGGCAGGGTAAACTAGACCATCCCCATGGAATATATCCAGTAACATCACCCCCTTGCCTGCAAAAAACCCTGGATAAAGGAGGAGGAAACAAAAATCTGAAGCAAGGGTCCTCAATTTAACCCAACTGGAAATGCAAAATTTTCTAAAAGAATTTGTACAACAAAAAGATCAAGAGTGCTGATTGACTTTTGTGCCTCTACAAGATAGTTTCTCAATTCACTCTAACATCTGTTGAGACTTACCTATTGCCAAACCTTCATGGCATTAATCAATACTGGGGTTCAAGTTACAGTTATGCCTGGGGATCCCACTAAATTTAAATCAGGTATCCCCTCTACTCTTAGGGGAGTTACCAAACAAAAAATAGAGGACCAACAGTTGTGCCTTAGCTTAACCTTCAGAACCATAACCTTGCCTAAATTTGCCATGGTAATAACAGCCAAAATATCCCACAGTAATCTAATACCAAACCCACTGCCTTCAAGTCAATTCTGACTCATAGCAAACCTATAATCTAATAAAGCCCTAAAATATACCATAAGGGCATGGATGCTCTCACCCACAAATAATAAATGAAAATAAAATTAAATATTTGGCATTTACAATCAGCTTGATCAAATGGAACTCCATGGCTCTTCCTCTCCAGGTAAAATAGTTAATACAGCCCAATATAAATTAAAACAGGGCTTTCTCAGATTGAAACACATTATACAAGACCTATTTAGAGAAGGCTATCATTCATCTGTCAGTTTGTCATACTGTGGGGGCTTGAGTGTTGCTGTGATACGGGAAGCTATACCACTGGTATATCAGCAGGGTTACTCACAGTGGACAGGTTTCAGTAGAGCTTCCAGACTAAGACAGACTAGGAAAAAGGAACTAGCGACTTATTTCTAAGAAAACTGGCCAGTGAAAACCTTATGAATAACAGTGGCACATTGTCTGATATAACGCTGGAAGATGAGCCCCTCACATTGGAATGCTCTCAAAATATGACTGAGGAAGAGCTGCCTCCTCAAAGTAGAGTGGACCTTAGTGATGTGGATGGAGTCAAGGTTTTGGGACCTTCAATTGCTGATGTGGCATGACTCAAAATAAGAAGAAACAGCTGCAAACATCCATTAATAATCGGAACATGGAATGTACGAAGTATGAACCTAGTAAAATTGGAAGTCATCAGAAATGAAATGGAACCCTTGAAGATCTATATCTTAAGCATTAAAGCTGAAATGGACTGGTATTGATCATTTTGAATCAAATAATCCTATGGTCTACTATGCCAGGAAGGACAAATTGAAGAGGAACGGCATCACATTCATCGCCGAAAAGAACATTTCAAGATCTATCCTTAAGTACAAGACTGTCCATGATAGGATAATATCCATATGCCTGCAAGGAAGACCAGTTAATATGACTATTATTCAAATTTATGCACCAATTACTAATGCCAAAGATGAAGAATTTGAAGATTTTTATCAACTTCTGCAGTCTGAAATTGATCAAACGTGCAATCAAGATGCATTGATAATTACTGGTGATTGGAATGTAAAAGCTGGAAACAAAGAGGTAGGATCAGTAGCTGGAAAATACGGCCTTGGTGATAGAAATAATGCTGGAGATTGCATGATAGAATTTTGCAAGATCAGTGACTTATTCATGGCAAATACCTTTTTTCAACAACATAAATGCCGACTATACATTTGAACCTCACCAGGTGGAATACACAGTAATCAAATCTACTACGTCTGCAGAAACAGACAATGGAGAAGCTCAATGTCGTCACTCAGAACAAGGCAAGAAGCCGACTGCTCATAAGGAAGTTCCAATTGAAGCTGAAGAAAATTTAAACAAGTCCATAAAAGCCAAAATATGACCTCGAGTATATCCCACCTGAATTTAGAGACTATCTCAAGAACAGATTTGAGGCATTGAACACTAATGACTGAAGATCAGTGAGTTGTGCAGTGACATCCAGAATATTATACATGATGAAAGCAAAAGGTCATTAAAAAGACAGGAAAGAAAAAAAAGACCAAATGGATGTCAGAAGAGACCTTGAAATTTGCCGTTGAATGTAGAGTAGCTAAAGCTGGAAGACAGCTACCTGGCCAATCGACTGGAAGAGATCCATATTTATGCCTATTCCCAAGAAAGGTGATCCAATGAAATGTAGAAATTATCAAACAATATTGTTAATATCACACGCAAGTAAAATTTTGCTGAAGATTATTCAAAAGTGGCTGCAGAGGTACCTCTACAGGGGACTGCCAGAAATTCAAGCTGGATTCAGAAGATGACATGAACTAGGGATATCATTGCTGATGTCAGGTGGATCCTGGCTGAAAGCAGAGAATACCAGAAAGATGTTTACCTGTGTTTTATTGACTATGCAAAGGCATTTGACAGTGTGGATCATAACAAATTATGGATAACATTGTGAAGAATGGGAATTCCAGAACACTTAATTGTGCTCATGAGGAACCTGTGCAAAGATCAAGAGGCAGTCATCCAAACACAACAAGGAGATACTGCGTGGTTTAAAGTCAGGAAAGGTGTGTGTCAGGGTTGTATCCTTTCACCATATTTATTCCATCTGTACGTTAAGCAAATAATCCAATAAACTGGACTATACGAAGAAGAATGGAGCAACAGGACCGGAGGAAGACTCATTAACAACCTGTGATATGCAGATGACACAACCTTGCTTACTAAAGTGAAGAGGACTTGAAGCACTTACTGATGAAGATCAAAGACCACAGCCTTCAGTATGGATTACACCTCAACATAAAGAAAACAAAAATCCTCACAACCGGACCAATAAGCAACATCATGATAAATGGAGAAAAGATTGACGTTGTCAAAGATTTCATTTAACTTATATCCACAGTCAATGCCCATGGAAGCAGCAGTCAAGAAATCAAATGACACAGTGCATTGGGCAAATCTGCTGCAAAAGACCTCTTTAAAGTGTTGAAAAGCAAAGATGTCACTTTAAGGACTAAAGTGCACCTGACCCAAGCCATGGTGTTTTCAATCACCTCATATGCATGTGAAAGCTGGACCGTGGATAAGGAAGACCCAAGAAGAATTGATGCCTTTGAATTATAGTGTTGGAGAAGAATATTGAATTTACCGTGGATTGCCAAAAGAATGAACAAATCTATCTTGGAAGAAATATAGCCAGAATGTTCCTTAGAAGCAAGGATAGCAAGACTATGTCTTACATACTTTGGACACGTTATCAGGAGGGATCAGTCCCTGGAGGAGGACATCATGCTTGGTAGAGGGTCAGAGAAAAAGAGGAAGACCCTCAACAAGATAGACTGACACAGTGGCTGCAACAATGGGCTCAAGCATAACAAGGATTGTGAGGATGGCTCAGGACTGGGCAATGTTTCCTTCTTGCTGTGAGTCAGAATTGACTCAATGGCACCTAACAACAACAGGGGTCAGGCCAGTCTCCATGGCATGTGGAGAGAGACACCATTGCCTCTGCTGGAAATTCACATGTAAGCGGAAGCTCAGGAGTGGGACTTACATCCTGAGGATGCATCCAAGCAAGCACAGAAGGTTGAGGAGGAGTCCCTGGTTCAGCCAATCAATGACTGTCATTTTCACCTGTAGGGAGGCTCTGCAGAAACAAAGCTCAGTTCAAACATGTGCGTCCATCCTGGTACTGAAGGGACTTGAATTGAGCAATTCGTGGTGTACAATGAAAAATGATCCTACTGCCCTTTCACATAGTGTTCTTGTCTCTTTCAATATTGTGTTGCTTTTCACACTAGAGCACTCTATTTCTGACATCTTTGGTTTGTAGTCATCCAAACATCCTGATCTCTCTAAAACACAATCATTAGCTTTTGTCATTTGCTTCCCCATCTCAAATCAATTATCCGAATAATTGTGGCATGCACATGTGACTCTTTGCTAAAGAGGCTGGTGTGAACGTGCCGTGCCTGCATGTGAAGGCGACTCAGAGCTGGGAAACTCCAGGACTGTAAGGTGAGTGGAAAGTCTGCAACATGGCGACTGAGAACCTGGTAGAAATTCATCTGCTATTCACCTCTCTCTTGAGATTTTTTGTTTGTTTGTTTTTAACACAAAGTAAGTATTTATTAAGTACAGACCAGGTGCTAGGTTTTGGACTGGAGATACAAAGACATAAAAAGACAAGGTCCCTGCCCTCATGGAGCTTGCAGTCTAGTTGAAGCAGACAAACAACCATGGATACAATGGCAAAGCACCAGTGAAGCGTAAAGGAAGAGGGATTGGTTCTGCCTCAGAATGCAGAGCAGGCTTCACAGAGACAAAGAAGTTGGGCCTTGGTTGAGGATGAGATAGAGCGGAAGGGTGAAAGCATATTAGAAGAAAAGGAAACAGCTATGAGCAAGCAGCACCTCGAAAGTACATGCCATGGTGCAGGTTGAGTTGCGCAGCGCGGAGCAGTTAGATGGTAACGGGGCACACAAACTTATTCTGATTGAGAGGATCATTCCGCAGTCTCTGTGTAGTCTTTTGCAGTTCACTAGGCATCCATCTTTCCAGTTCTGAAGTTAAAATTGCTGAGATCCACAGTATTTCGCAGGTACCTTGCCAACTGGAGTTTGCTTCTGAACTTCTCGCCACTTGGACTGAAGTAGTAGATATCGCTTTTGCCGGCACTGCGCCCAGATTTTCGGATCACTTCCTCCCTCTTCCATCCGGGGGGGAGGGCTGCGCAGTCCATCCTCTTCCCGCTGTCCGTAGCGCGGAGTGCCCTGGGCCCCGGCCCCGGCCCCGAGCTCCCCGACGGAAAAGCGACCGCCTCCCGCCGGGGGGAGCCGCCGCCACCAGCGTTGTCGATGCAGCCGCCAAGGCCTCTGCTGCCAGTCCGGGGACGGTCCCGGCCCCGGCCCGCCTCCTTCCGCCGCCCCAGACCGGGGCCGCCGCCCTCAGCGCCTTCCTTGCGCGCGCTGCTCACCGGGGACCCAGCGAGCGCGGTGCCCTGGACTCCCTGCTCTATGGCGGAGTCGCTGTCAGCCTCGCTGTCTCTCGCCTCCTGCTCCTTGAGACTTACTCTTGAAGGACAGAGCAAAAGTCCTTTCTGCAAGAGAGAAGGGATCAGAGAATGAGGTGATTCTGGAGGCTCTTTTGTGAATGTGGAATTTTCCACTTCCTAGTGAGTATTTCTCCCTGGATATCCCACTGGCATCTCAAACCCAAGGCATCTAAAAGAAAAATTAACCCTTTCCCCCAATCAGTTCTCCTTCTGGACTTTACTTAATGAAAACAAAATGTTTTCCATTGTTACTCAAACCCAAGACCGATTTGTTCTTCTCTCCCAATCCCCTCACATCGATTCCTTTCTCTTTCCATTTCTTCCTCTCTAGATCAACTCCTTATGATTCCATCCCAATGATAATTTTGTGAGTATTACTGGGAGGCTTTGTGCTGAGTCCTGGGATTACAAAGACTAGTCCACACTCTAGGAGTTCCCAGGACAGAGGACAGACTGACCAAGAACAGAACTGGCCCAGAAACACTTCACAGGGGTGTCTCAATGGAGCTGGGTCTCCAGTAGGTGTTTATGGGATGAAGGGGGCAGGAAGCTGTTCCAGGTGTCAGTGTCTACAGCTAGTCTCCTTCCAATCCGCCCTACCCAATACCACCAGGCTAAGCTTCATAATTCTCTCCTGACCTCAAACCCTCTGGGGGTTTAGTCAAGCTATTTTGCTTGCATTCAAAGTTCACCATCAACACCATTCTGCCTTCCTAACTTTATCATCCACACCTTTTTCCTATGAACTTTCAGCTCTTGATAAATTATGCTATGGAAACCTAATGGGTATTTCTTCACATTTTTGCCCACTGAAGTTCCTTTGGAATTTAAGCTCGTCACCTGTCTGTGTTTTGTCATTACAATACCTCTAGCAGCTGTCCTAGGGTCCGTCCCCTGCAAAGCACACTCTGCTTCCAGTTCTTTGACTTTGCCCGGTTTCCTGCCACTTCAAATTCTTTTGGCGTGAACCAAGTTCCCTTCTCATTCTGAATGCACTTCTCTGAGGGTCCTGGAACATAAAGACAGGCCATTCCAGGATCTCACTTCCATCCCATACAATCCATGCCAAACCTCCAAACCCCTGATGGTGGTGTTCCACCCTTGTCGGTCCAGAGAGACTCCCCTGTGAAGTAGGAGTCTGCATTCCTCTTGACTCCCATGTGGAAGAAGAGTGGCCTGGTTGCAGATACACCCTGTTATGGACTGAACCGTGTCCCCCAAAACAGGTGTTGGAATCCTACCACTATACCTGTGCACGTGATCTCCTTTGGGAACAGGGTTCTCTTTGTTATGTTAATGAGGCCATATCAGCGTAGGGTGTGGCCTCAGCCTAATCATCTCACAGTTATAAAAAGGGCAGATTCAACAGAGAAGGAAGAACAAACGGGGTGGGATGGCGGGGAGGATAGGTATCATGTGAAGATCGCCAAGGAACCAACACAGAGAGAGCCTTCCCCTAGAGCCAGTGCCCTGAATTCGGACTTCTAGTCTCCTGAACTGTGAGAAAATAAATTGCTATTTTTAAGAAGCACTTCTTTGTGGTAGTTCTGTTACAGCAGCATTAGGAAGCTAAAGCACACTACAACGTATCAAAGTTTGGAATTCACCTTAAGAAGGACTTCTTTTTCTGCTGCCTAGCTCACAGCGTCCATTTCCTGAACAATTACAGTACGCTATAGGTGTTTTTCCTTCCTAGTGATTTCCTCATCTAGAACTTCCCAAGAGTAGAGACAGAAGCACTCACCTTGTTTCATTTTCTCCTTATATAAAACTCCCTTTGCCTCACCACAAGTCACAGGAAGTTTAGGAGAATGAAAACCCACAGTTTCATCTTCAGGCCCTTCTGAAACTAGAAGGGAACAGTTTAGCTTTACTTAGTCTTCATTCTTTCTCCCTCATGAATTCTCCCCTCCACCTATTTCTTAAATAATCATATAAATGGTACTGGGGACCATTTTCTTGTTAATTTGCAGGAAATCTTCCATATTGTGTGGTAGATTAGCTACTCGGACAGAATGGTCTCCAGTAAACAAAACCACTACCACCAACCACACGACATCAAACCCAGCATTTTAATCGAAAATACAGGGCATCTTGAGTGAATGTGTTCTAATTGTGTTGTTGTTGAGGTAAATATATACATGACAAAACATTTGCCATTTCTGCAATCTTCACATGTACAGTTCACTGACATCACATTTTTCAACCATCATCATTAGAATCTGTTTTAATTTGCAAGCCGATTGGCCATCACTTAATGTTCCTTCATTCCATACACATCCTGCTTATCCTCTGTGCTGATGGAAGTTGCCTACCTAAAATATTTATTTGTGTTTACAGAGCCTGAGGAAAACATCTTCCTCTGTAATCTTACTTCCTGATTCGGACCAAGGCTTGGGTAAGTGAGGTGGTTAGCACTGTAACTGACAGGGTTAAACTCTTCCCCCTCCTCCCATCATACCCAGGGTCTGTGAGTTCCTGATAAGGCATTCTGTGTAGCAGCCCAAGGTCATCTTACTGCTCCTCCGCTCAAGGCTGCTTCACTACCCACCACCCCCCTTCCACTCGGACGTGAGCAATAAGCCGCAAAGCTGCCCTTGGATACACTCCATGCATCATACCCCCAAAACACACACGCCTCATAGCCACCATATTTCACCTCCCACTACACCCCCATACATATTAATTGGTTCCTGGAATTGCCCACCTATTCCCAGAAACTTCATGAATTATGCATAAATTCCCATCCCAAAACCTATAATTGCCCTAGAATCCCCAACCTGAGGGGCTAGTGTCAGTCTTCATTGTTTACTGTTACTTTTCATTTTATAGCTTCCCTGTTTCTTCCTCTAGGAGTAAAGGACCACCCCGGAAAGTTCTAGACCCATCTGCAAATTGCACAAGGAGAGATTTGACCCCTTAGAACATCTGAGTGGGGATCTGGGGTTCTGATTAAACAGAATACATTGTAAAAGGTCTTAGAATAAATATCAGCAATTGCTGTGCCCTCCTCCCCAGCCTTATTGTGGGAGAATTCATTAAGGACATACTCAGGGGTCATCTCCTGGAGGAGCGGGAAAAGGGTTGTCCATGACTTATGTTGAGATATAGAGGAGGTTAGACCTGGAGTGCGTCTGGTATAACATCTGGTTCAACTCTCTTCTTTGCCTCCAGAGCTTACTAAAACAGCCAAAGGAAAACAAAGATATGAAAAAGCAAGAGCAATATTGGAAAAAGGGAAGAATGATATAAACGGCAAAGAAATCATTAATTACTTTGGAAAGATTTGAAGCAGATGGAGTCAGACTGAGAGAGGAGGCGAGGGACCCCTGAGAAGTAAGGGGATGGTTGCCCTCAGCAGAACCCCGAAGGTGCCCAGCCGTGGAGCACCAGGGGCTGGCAGCAAAGCTAGGCGTGGGGGGCAGGGGGGGCGGGGTGTTGCTCTTGCATGGAGTGGCCGCCCCACCATTTGTGTCCAGATGCTGATATGGCACAACGGATGAGAACACAGAGCCACACTATGTAGGTTTGTAATCATGGCTCTGCGACTCCCTAGCAAGGATTACATAAATTGTAATCAGCATTGAGCAGGGGATTTGCGGCTGTAGGTTCCTAACTGGGGTGATAGGCAGAACCACAGGTAACTTTGGACCACAATTGCAAACCCCCCCGGGGTTAGTATGGCCATAGGAACCTTCTAAAGCTCTCTGTCTCCATTGAAATGTCTTCCCAGTTCCATGTGACTAACGTCCAGTAACCAGTTGCCTTTGAGTTGATTCTAATTCATGGCAACCCCATGTGTGTCAGACTAGAACTATGCTCCATAGGGTATTCCATGGCTGATTTTCTGAAAATAGATTAACAGGCCTTTCTTCCAAGGTGCCTCTGGGTGGACTCAAACTTCCAACCTTTCAGTAACAGTCAAGCACGTTAACCGTTTGACCACCACCCAGGCACTCCATGGTTAGTTCCAATGAACAGAGGCAGCCCGGATGTGCTCCCAAGCAGATGCAGGAGTGCCAGATGACTTTGGAAATCAAGGGTACAAGCACCCGTCAATCCCCAACCCAGGCTTCCTTTACTGGGTACAGGCAGTTCATGAGTGAGGATGCGCCTGCGGCTGAGGGTTTCTGAAGTCACCCACCCTGCCCTTAAGGTGATGAGGACAGCTTTCTGGGTGCTCCCAATAATCCTGCATTTGGTTCAGCCTCACCCACTCATCTCAGCAAACAGACCTTTAAGGATGGGACCCTGTGGTCCGAGGACCCTGGAGGGAAGGCCTGCCTGGGGCTATCCAGCATCAGCCGTTCGCAGGGAGTACCCCTCAAGCTACAACAGCAACAGACTGAGAATACTATCAGTCAGTGTGCACACACTACCAGGGGCTGAGAAAGCCCAGAGGGGGCAGCCAGCTGGGCAGCGGGAGAAAATGGCCCCCTCCCCATCTCAAGCAGTTAACAGGATGAAAGTTAAAGAAAAAGACATTGATTATCCTTGGAGATAATTAGTGGACTCCTATGTCCATTACACAAGAGCATCCTCCTATGAAAAACAATCAACTAGAGAAAAAGAAGTTCATGGAAATAAAAAGCATGATGGAGGAAATTAGAAGAAGAGCCTAATAGAGACCATGAATAGCAAAATGGAAAAAAATCCAATTAGAGAATTGGAAGACTAACGCCAGGAATTCTCACAGAACATGGGGAAAACACAGGAGGTGAAAATTATGCCTGAAAAGACAGGAGGCCTGGAGTAAGATCTGGGGGACCTATGATCTATCTGCATATGAGAGGCTGGGGTACAGAATGGGTGACCGGAGGAAAATCAATAATCAATGAAATAGTAAAGGTAACACACACCTTGCATCATTTATCCCCACAACAACCTTTAAGAAAGGGAAGGCAACAGTTATCCCCATTTTATAGACAGGGAACAGACCCAAATTTGGAGACAGAATATCTGGCACTCACCTAACTATATGAAGTGGAGTTGCCTTTAGGATCCCTACTTGCTGGACGCCTAGTCTTGTGTTCCTTCCATATTAGCAGAAATGCCTCAACAAGACTACAGGATCTATATGATTGATAGCAGCACAGGAATACCCTATGTTAAACCAGAAGTTACAGTCAGGGCAAAAGTGCTAAGGAGGCAGGAGAAGCTGATCTAAGGGACCAAGATCAGCGTTTACGTGGATTCCGGCCTCCCCTGGGCCTTCATCAGTTTCCATTTCTGCACTCTAGTCTCATTCTCCATATCCTTTCACCATACCTATTCAATCTGTATGCTGAGCAAATAATCCAAGAAACTAGACTACATGAAGAAGAATGCAGCATCAGGATTGGAGGAAGACTCATTAACAACTTGTGATATGCAGATGACACAAACTTGCTTGCTGAAAGTGAAGAGGACTTGAAGCACTTACTGATGAAGATCCAAGACTACAACCTTCAGTATGAATTACACCTCAATATTAAGAAAACAAAAACCCTTACAACTGGACTAATAAGCAACATCATGATAAATGGGGAAAAGCTTGAAGTTGTCAAGGATTTCATTTTACTTGGATACACAATCAACACCCATGGAAGCAGCAGTCAGGAAATCAAATGACATATTGCACTGGGCAAGTCTGCTGCAAAAGACTTCTTTAAAGTGTTGAGAAGCAAAGATGTCACCTTGAAGACTAAGGTGCGCCTGACCCAAGCCATGGTGTTTTCAATTGCCGTGTGTGCGTGTGAAAGCTGGACGATGAATAAGGAAGACTGAAGAATTGACGCCTTTGTATTGTGGTGTTGGCGAAGAATACTGAATATACCATGGACTGCCAGAAGAACAAACAAATCTGTCTTGGAAGAAGAACAACCAGAACGCTCCTTAGAAGCAAGGATGGCAAGACTACATATCACATACTTTGGACATGTTGTCAGGAGGGATCAGTCCCTGGACATGCTTGGTAAAGTAGAGGGTCAGTGAAAAAAAGGAAGACCCTCAATGAGATGGATTGACACAGTGGCTGCAACAATGGCTCAAACATAGCAACAATTGTGAAGATGGCTCAGGACCGAGCGTGTTTAGTGCTGTTGTACATAGGGTCGCTATGAGCTGGAAATGACTCGACAGCACCTAACAACAACAACAGTCTCATTCTTATGAAGGTTTAGCCCATATTAGAGTGTCCTAAAATGACAAGGAGGTATCTGGGTTTATGTATTTATTGGTGTAAAGAACAAGGGACTTGGAATTAGAACACCTAGGTAGATTTTAGCTCATGCAAGTCTTTTACCCTTTCATTGAATCAGTAAAATGGGCTGAATAATACTGACTTATTGTGAAGATTAAAATACAAAATGTAGAGCAAAGTGCTCTGTTAATTGTAAAGTGATATATACACATTTGTTATTTTCAGGACTGCTGCATATGGTTGTCTGGACTTCCACCTCTGGGGGGCACCATTCACATCTGAGACATAAACGATTTGTATGCGTAGTACAATCTTCCAGGAGAGGGCAGCAAAGTATCTGGCTTCAATAGTCCGACATCTGGCGGTAAACCATTTTGAGGGATGCCTTTTTCTCATTCATACAAATGCATTGTGTGGTAAACAGAGGCCCTGCTATTGGCATTAATACTTGATGAAGAATAGTGATTTAAGTATAAACTGTGCGAGACACAGAGGAGCTGGACATATGTCAATAAGCAAGACTGACCTACATTCTGACCTAATGGGACTTTCATGGAGTAACATGATAATTAGTTACAGTTGTGACAAGTGCCACGAGGAAGAGATACAGGGCCTGTTTGTGGTAGGTCTGTATGAAATAAGTAGATCAACTGTGACAGTCATTTAAG